GTGTGTGTGTGTGTGTGTGTGTGTGTGTGTGTGTGTGTGTGTGTGTGTGTGTGTGTGTGTGTGTGTGTGTGTGTGTGTGTGTGTGTGTGTGTGTGTGTAGGTGTATGAGGATGTGTATATGTGTCGATGCACGTATATATGTACGTGTGTTATGTGCACGTGTGCGTGTGTGTGCTTGTTTTTTTACATGCAAACCGTTTGCTTAGATGTATGCAAAAGGTCATCTTGGTGATGAAGATCAAAGATCACATTTGTTCGGTTGCCATCAATGTTCCGCTTTTTTCGTTTCTTCAAAAAAAAAAAAAAGATGATCTTATTGTTCGTTGTGTTGCATTTGCTACATTGTCATCGTTCCTTAAGCATACTTTCACCCCTCATTACTCATTGCTATTTTACTTCATCCGCCCACTCATTCATTTTCCTCCACCCACGCGACAAATGTCATTTCCTTCATGTCCTATCGATAACACATCAGTATGTCTCATCTTCTAACCATCCCTTTAACTGGACATTTATCGTCATCTCATTCATTATCTTCATCAAAATTTTTCCTTCATTTCAGTTTTGTTCCCTGACTGGTTTATGTCTGTCCGCTTCTTTCATCAGCATACATATATATATATATATCTGTTCTAAACAATACGCTTTATCCAATCACTTTTTCCTGACACATATCTATCCGGTTCTCTTCTTCCTATATATCTTTCTTAATTCATTTGTTGATTGTAATCATGAAACGACAAATTGAGGATGATTTTATCTGGAAAACCTGTTTTCTCTTATCCGGTTTTTAGGAAAGTTTCATTTCATTGCATTATAATAATAATCATGATGAGAATAACATTTAGTGCATAGGATTGAATTGTGATGTGATTTCTGGTTGGTTGAGAAATTTTCGGATTGGTTAAGTATTTTCCGGACGTCTTTTTCCGTATGCTTATTATATATATATATATGCTATATTTGTTAAAATTCAACATTTCAAATTAGCTATTTTTGAAATTTCTGGAAAAGAATGGAGATGACATTAAAGGACAATTTTCCATGCTGGTTATACATGTCGGAAAATTATTGAATGCAAGCCTGAAACTATTAATTTTTAATTGTTTATTTATTAATTATTCCAAATTTAATTTTCAAATTTTTTACACTCTATAATGGAATATAATGATAGTAAGTACGCTGGCATAATCTATTTCAGATCGATCTGTTTATGCTTCTTTCAAATCTCTCCCTTTTTTCGTTCATTTTCGGAAATTATCCGGAAATAAAAACTTCGAAAATTAGCCGAAAAAATCCGGCGATTTTATTATTTCGTTTTCCTTCTATCCTCCTTCATTGTCCTTTTCTTTATATATTTGTTAGTAATGTAGGTGTATGTCTATGTGTGTTCATGTGCATGCATATTTATGTGTGTGCGTGTATGTAACGTATGTCTATGTAGGTGTAGGTGTATGCATGTGTATATGTGCACGTGTGTATGTGTGGGTGTGTGTATTTATGTGTTACTTCTCATTCCCAAACTTTTTATCAATCATTTCTTATAATTTGAAAACCTCTCTGTAAGCTATTTTCTGTGAGTGAATCGATTTAGAAAGAGAAGAATGAAAGGTATCTAATAACTTCATTTGTTTTGCCACCAATCTAATAATAGTTTCGCATTTACAGTTGAAGGAATTTTCAAAAATGCTCAAGTCTTTGTTACAGCACTTTCACAGTACCTTTCCCTTTCTTCCTATTACAGGCATACACATACACAGACATACACACACGTGCACATACATACACACATACACACACGTGCGCACACATACACACACGCACGTGCACACGCATACATACATTTCATGAACTGATTGGAAATATTGGATAATTATTCTGAAAGATCGACATTCATGCAGAACATTTTATACACATACATACTCATACACACGTGCATATACACACATAAACATATACGTGTATATGTTTACATACACGTCACGTGCGTGTGCACATGGACGTATGCACTTATATAGTATATAATATGAATGCATTTACCGAACATTTTTGGAAATTTTTAGAATACATTGAATTAGAAATAAAATAGAATTGACGTATGTCATCAGTTTAGCATTTTTTGTTGCATATATTTTTAGACATTTGCATTTTCAGCTATACTTATAGTAAAGGTTATTGATCAAATTAATATCATTAATTTGTTGTCAACTATTTGAATAATGTCATACAATCCTTTCTTTAATGTTTTAATTTATTGCCTTTCGATAAATTTATTTGTTTTATTTCATCCCTTAATTTATTCGAAATTTTTATGCAATTTTTTTTTTTTAAATTGAACAAAAAGTTTTTTTTTTTTTTAGCATGATGGAACCAGTTGTGTTATGGGTGAAAGCAGGATCAGATGGTGTACGCTTAGGTGGTGATCCGTTATGTCATCAAATTTTTATGATACTAATCGAGAAAAGTCTTCATCCTGATTCTGATCTCACGTAAGTTTCTCTTTAACGTACTCAAATTTAGCCTTATTTTAATTGATAAAATTATGTTCTAAATATATATCAATCTCACAAAACTTTTCCACTACTAATGTATCTTTCTTTTTATCAGTGATATTATCATCAAAGTGTAAATATATAAGCTAATCAATTAAGTATTATTATTATTATTATCATACGCAGTAATTGAGACATCAGAAATTCTGTTTTAACGGATGCATCACAAACTGAAATGATTTAATTACTGAGATCATGAATTGATTTGAAAAAGCTGTTATCATAAAAACAAGAATCATTATTTGATCGGTAATATCATCGCTGTATTCATCAACGAATAACAAAGTGATCGGAGAATTATGATTTGAAAATTACTGTAGCATTGCACAAACCAGAATGATTTAATCACTGATATCATGAAATGATTTGGAAAAGCTGTTATCATAAAAACACAAATTATTATTTGATCGGTAATCATATCATCGTTGTATTCATCAATGAATAACAGAATAACCGGATAATTCTGATTTGGGAATTGTTGTGGAATGTTTAATTACTAAAATATATAGTAAAATACTTCAAAAAATGATTCCCCTTTTATAGATTCAGCGTGAAAACAGTCAACGAAGCGAAACCACCACCAGAATTCCGTGAGGTAAATTCTCTTCTGTTTAGATTATGAGTTTAATTCTTGAATTCTTTAAAAAAAAGAAAAACTTTCTAATTTCAAGTATTTGTACGTAAAATTAATTAATGGTTACAAATATAATGGCAACAAGAAAAATGACGATGTAACGGGAAAGGCGAAAGGAAGTTGAAATTTTCCAGATGTGAACGGAAGAATTACGCAATTGGATTATAAAATAACCTTTTTTTTTTCGAAAAAACTTTTTACTTGATAGTTATCTCCCGATTTAGAATAAGATGATACCGGGAATATGAAAGTATAATCCAAGCACAGTAAGTAATACATCAATAGGTTAATCCTCCGAAATTTCTGTTATGAGGAGTTTTTAGTTTTCATCAGTAATTTCCGAGGAAATTATTAAATTCGGAAGATTGAAGCGAAGTTTGCTTACTTATCTCATGCCTACTTACTTTCTACATTTTAAAAATTCTCATCCTAATCTAATCCAAAATTTATTTTCCTGAAAAATGCTTTTGAAATTAGCATGATTTAACATGGAACCTTAAAATGTTAATTTACAGGCTGGTTTAAGGCATGCTCCAGCATTACAACACGGTGATGACTTAATCTTATCCCATCAGGATGAAATTATTGATTACATCGATCGACAGTTTCCAATACCATCACTGAAATGTGAATGTTCTGCTGCTTCAGATGCTACAGCAAATCTTTTCCGTTCCTTTGCATTTTTCATTAAGGAAGTTAACACCGATCCAAAAGTACGTATAATTTTTTTTCGCGCTGATTTCAAGAATTCCTTTTTTTTTCCTCCTAAGAATCTAAACTTTTTTAGTTGTGCTCAGCGTTATGCGTCCTTAAATGTTGCAAATGCAAGTAAATTTTTGTTTTTGACGTCTCAATCTACTTATTTTTTAAGACCAAAGGGTTAAAGGTAACTTTGTTTTGCTCTGCTAAACTTCTATTATTCATTTATTATTATTATTGTTATCATCAGGCATTGAATATGGAATTGATACGATTGGATCGATATTTGGATGATATAAGGACATCATTTCTGGCAGCTGATCATTTAACCCATTTAGATTGTTATATTTTGCCCAAATTGCATACCATCCGAATTGCCTTAGGTGCATTGAAAGGATATGAAATACCGACCAATTTACACAATTTATGGGGTTATATGAAACGCGGTTATGCTATGGAATCATTCCGAAAAAGTTGTCCAAGTGATCAGGTCATTTACTTTTTTTTACTGTTTTACTTTAACTGTTTTACTCTGTTTTACTTTAAATATTCATTTATTTCCTTGTCATTTCCTGAATTTTCTTCTCAAAATTTCAATCATTCGGTAAATCAGAGGATGGTTGAAACTGAGTAATAATAGAGGGATGATTAGAATTTTACGAACTTTTTTGGAAGGTTGGTGGTTAGCTGTGAGTCCGATGATGGCTCTGTTATCACCAATATTTTCAAGGAAAATCTTCATATTTTCTAAATTTCTAGATGCTATTAGTAGAATTTTATGTTTTCACCTTTTTTGACTACAAATAGCAGCAGGATATTGCATTTAGATTGTATGAAATAACTTTAAGATGTAATGTCAGGATAGTTTAGATAAGTTTTGCGAAACTGTAGAATTCAGTCTGTTTTCCAGCTATCCTCGATTGCTCTCTCTTATAGGAATTCTATACCTCCAAACTCTCGAAAAATTTTTTCCTGTCTTGTTCTTGTTTGTTTCTCATTTATATATAAGTTTGATTGCCGATCTTTGTTGTAGAGTGGTGAAATAGTGATGAAAGCTGAGGTAACTTCCTAAACTATCTTGAATTGTTAAGCTACACTTCATTATGCTGTGATATACCTTCTAAAAAAATATTTCCGAGGAATTTATAATTTGAGTGTCATAAAATACCAGCAGATTTAATTCCAACTTTTTTATCACATTTTATGAAAAAATCCATTTACTACGAATGTAGAAAAGTAGAAAACCTGTATTACAATGCTTTTGTTTGTAGGAAATAATACTGTATTGGGCAGAACGACCGGATACTCCAAATCTAACATCACAGAAGCGATCCCAATTTTACCGCCAAAAAACTACCTACAGCTGGGATATTCCGATGGATGCTCAAAATGGTAAAATTAAAGAAAATGGTTGATCAGGTAAATACGTAATACAGATCAGTATTTAATGATGCATAAGTGTATTGTATAGTGGAAATTGAAACCTTAAACGTGCATAAAAATTTTGATTATACTTGATTTCATATTTGCATATAAATCTATAGCAAATATATCCTTTTTTTTTTGCCAATACATCAACAAATTTTATTTAATTCAAATTTATTATCACTTATACTATCAAGGTGCAAAATGCAGATCGACTTTTCCCATTGAATTAATTAGACAGAAAGATAGACAGGAATAAAATCCAAGAGAATTTCCAAGAATTTAAGAGAAAATAAAAAAAATATATCAGAAAGATAGACAGGAATAAAATCCAAGAGAATTTCCAAGAATTTAAGAGAAAATAAAAAAATATATCTAATTTTAAAATTATCGTTGCATTTAGTAATATGAATCTGTAAAATTTGATACGTGAATCACGTCAGTTTTCAGGCTATTCGAATTATGGAAATTTGACATGTGTACTGTGTTAGCTGTTTCTTTAATACATGGATACATTGGTTTCTTGCTCTATACACTACCTGCTTGCTCGATATGCTGATATCAAGGAAAATCGATTAAAAAAGAGAATAGAAATTGTCCAATATTCTAAACTAAATTCTCTGGGGTTTTTTTTTTTTTCTTAAATCTTTTAAGTGACATCCATTTTGTTAACGATAAATGTTACTCTTTTTTTCTGATTTAAAAGCTGAATTTTGATAAATGTGAGATTTGAACCAGTACCATAGTTGCATATTATCAAATATTGATAATGATGGTCTGCATAGAAGAAAAAGGGAAAATAATGATAATTTGCATAAAAGAAAAAAGGGGAAAAAGAAAATTTTAGATGGAACAAAAAAAAAGTCCATCACGATAATGCTGTACGAATTGGTAGTATTAATTGTAAATTTAAATTTAATCATAAAAAAATTGAGAAGTTTAGAATTTTCTGGGCAAAAATGTACAAATCATTATATCATTCTTGCACATATGTTATTATTATTGTGTTTATAAACAAAAATTATAACTTACATACTAATAATCATTTAGTATGTAAGTATGAAATTTAAATATTTTTGTTTTTTTATTTTATTATCGACAATAATATACACAATAATATAGAAAAGAAAAAAAAAATCTCTCAAATATATTTCTTGTACATTTATTATGTAAATTCTCAAAACTGTATTTTGTCCATACTTTCACTCGCAACCATCCTTATATTTTATTTCATTTTGTGTAAGTGTATGGTGTGAAATATTGGTAAACAAGTTTTAACAATGTTTTATTTCGTTTTCATTTTCTCTGGTAACGGTAACAAGTGATAAAAAGAGAAATAATTCTGAATCTTTTCCGCATTCATTAGTGACAACTTTTTCCAGTGAAATATAGCAAAAATTATAAGACTGGGAAGTTTTCCTCGCAAATCAATCGAATAACAAGGTTTGATGACAACAGAGAACATTGTAATTGTAATTTTCATGACATTAGAACTGTTAATCAACAATCAAAGAAGACAAAATAAGTTGGAAATGATAACCTGAAATAGATAATCCATAGGGGAAGGGGATGTCTGATGAAGGTGTTATTAGGGAGGCAGCATTTGCAAAAGTTTCATTAGAAAAGTTTCATTAGAAAAAAGGCCAGAAGAGAGAAAGGGAAAGAAAATGAGGAGGGAAATGCAAAACGTTTCAGAATATATGATGAGCTTTTTTTTTCATCCGGTTTATTAACATGGAATTATTCTCATATTTAAGTTTGTATTAGAAATAAATCTTCTCCCTTCCATTGTGAGAATAAAAACCTTTGATTTAGTGAGCAATTATTAGCCGAGGAACTAGCTCAAATCACTTATCACTTATCAGCTAGCACAAAATGTTTTCCAAAAAATATTTCCGGAAATCAGAAATATATACCATACATATACCTCGAGGTATCAAGTGCAAAAAAGGTCTTAAGTCATTTTCTAGGAAACGTCCTCTGCTGGAGCTATTACTTCCTAGGGTTTTGCCACAATTCAACTATTCTATATTCAGGAAAAAAAAGACATCAATTGAAAATGCTACCTTAAGAAGCAGCAGATCATTTTGGTAGGAACCTAAATTTGCATTGTGACCCGTGTGGGCGTGAAAACCAGACTACGTCTAAGCCATTTTCAACTACGGTTGTTGTGGAGGACTGTACATCAGGGCTTAGGATCGGGTTGTTGGCGTCAGGTGAGGAAGAAGGATTAAAATTTGAAAGTTTCGGAAAGTTTCTGTAGTTTAAAATTTTTAAAATCTATCAAAACACTGTGGTAAAAGTAACTTTCAGATATCTACATTCATAATAACATGGCTGAATACGATTTGACTAAAAAGATGGCACCATTTTTCGACCTTCACTTAGTTATACCATTGTTGGAATTCATTGAACCAAGGAGTGTAAGTGAAATTATTTTAATATTTTGAATTAAATTTCTTTCTGGATGTTTTTACGATGGAAATTTTGTGGTGTTTATGTCCAGTTTTCCTAATTTTTGTGCAATTCGGTTTTACGAATTAAAATTGAAATTAAAGTCGGTTTACGATAATTTGATGTAACATATTCTTGCAATAATAATTGGTCCATTTTGTGGTTTGATCATTTTTAGTTTTTCATGCTTTTACACCTTTGATGTATTCATACATTGCCTGCTGAAATGTTACATGGTGATTATCATGATATATTAACTTCGCAAACTTTACATTTGCTTGTTAAATGAGAGTTGTCAAAAATACTGTTTCCAAATACATTTTCTGTTAATAAAATTACATTTTTCAGATTTATGATCACGACTCATTGATTAAAGTGCATCGACGGGTTTTACTGAAGACAAATATGATCGACAGCGTAATTGAAACGTATTCCGAAGGTGAAGTACCAAAGGAATTGGAGCAACGCAAAGTTGAAATCCTCAGCCAGGTATTTGTTATCCTTCACTATTTAACAGCTTTAAGTTAAGGTGAAAAGTATCGACTTTTGTATTATAGTGGTTTTAATTAGTCTATTATTTAAGATACTTGTAAATAATCTTCCATATTAAAGGATTATAAAATTCTGTACCTCACAAAAATTAATATAGTTATGAGTTCGCCGCCTTACTTTTATTTACTTGTTTGTTACCGACTTATGAAATCGTTTCACAGCGTGAAAAACTGAAAGTTAAAGTTGATCCAGTGGTGGAAATTCTGGAATCGGAGCCAGTAAAAGCAATGATGGATAGTCGAGAACTAACAAATAATCGAATTCTTGAATATGTCACTGCGAATCATGGGGTAATTTTATTCGTGATAGTTAGACTTTCGCATAATTTTTTTTTCTGTTGGAGTATTCTGAAGTTAGGGTCTGATTTACTTATCTCTGTTGCTAGATAATAGGTTAGCTAGACTTGCAGCATTATAGGAAAAATAATCGAGAAGGATGGTAGATTTGTAGAAAACAGGAATAAGGGAGCAAAAAATGAAGGAGAGTAGATATCCTAATGATATGTTTGTTCTAAATATATTTCTTGGAAGCTGGAAATTTACCGTCATTTACAGCTCACTGAGGAAATGCTTGACTCGTTGTTTCGCTACGCTAAGTTCCAATACGAATGTGGTAATTACTCGGCTGCATCTTTATGTCTTGATTACTACCGCAATATTGTGCCACAACAAAATCCAAACTATCTGAGCGCATTGTATGGCAAATTGGCTTCCGAAATATTGCTACAAGTAAGTTTACATTAGACTTCTAGGATTCTAAGAAACTCTCTACTCATAATGTTTATAAAGGTTAAGGGACTGATTGTAGCATAAATGTCATTCGAAGTGATGATGAACATTGTGGATGTTAATAATTTAATGTAAAACAACATAACTGAAATTTCTAAAATTTCATCTGAAGTTATTTTGGCCAAGCTGTAATCTGAACTTTATGGTTGTCCACAGTTAGGATTTTATTAGCAATGTTGAAAAACTGCAGATATGGCGGTGTATTGCGCTGTGTTCTTTTATCTAATTTATCCCGGAAGAATTGCATTGCATTTTGTGAAGAATAATTAATGAAACAAAAAAAAAGGAACAGGAATTCCTTTTGATATGTATATTTCAAAAAAGAAGCCTTGGAAGGGTTTTTGCTTTTTTCAGGAATGGACACATGCGAAAGATGATTTGACCAAACTGCGAACATACATTGATTTTAATCCATTTGATACCGAATTAGAATCAGTTCAGCAACGTGCGTGGTTAATGCATTGGGCTCTGTTCGTTTATTTCAACTATCCAAAAGGGCGTGATGAAATTGTTGAAATGTATCTCAACCAGCAGCCGTATTTGAACACGATACAGGTAATTTTTTAACGCGTACATATTTCTTTCCTGATTTCTTTTTTTTTCTTTTTTATTTCTTTCCTGATTTCTTTTTTTTCTTTTTTCCTAGCGTTGTAAGCATTCGTTCCTATTTTTGCACCGTTAAATTTATGTATACATGATATGCGCTCGACGCTTCTCCATTTTAAGTGATCCACAAGCGTACAGCATTTAGAATGTTCATATTGGTTCCTTTCCCTTTAACTACCTTATTGTGCTTTATAGAATCTTTTGTATTATAGATGTAACGCTCAAGTTATCACTTTTCTCATTCTTTATATATAAGATATAAGTAATATGTTTCTGTTGTTCTTTTAGATAGCTTGTCCGCATCTTTTACGGTATTTGGCTGTAGCAGTTGTGACAAGCAAAACAAAGCAGAAAAACAGTTTGAAAGATTTGATTAAAGTAATCGATATTGTAAGTTTTTTTACTGAGGCATCCTTACTTCAAATATAAGCCAATTATAGTTAAAGATTAAAAAATAAGTTGTTTCAATTACATAAATTTTGTCTGTGACATATAGGTTTACATCGACTTCACTATTTCATTATCCGTCATTTTGATTATTTTGTTTTTTCCAAACAATTGGTTGTTTTTCACTAATCGATTTTCATTCAAGGAACGACATAATTATGAGGATCCAGTTACTGATTTCTTAACTTGTCTCTATATTAAGTATGATTTTGACGATGCCCAGAAAAAGCTGAGGAAATGCGAAGATGTCTAGTTTTTTTTTTTTTTTGTTTAAAGTACTTTTTTGAAATAAAGATTCCCGGTGCAAGCAGAGATTTTATGGGATTTTCAGGTTTTATCAAATGATTTCTTCCTGACCGCTTGCTTAGAAGATTTCCGAGAAAGTGCCAGACTATTGATTTTCGAAATGTTCTGCAGAATTCATCAATGTATTTCTATACAAATGCTTGCCGACCGTCTTAATATGCAGCAGGTATACATAGATTATTTTTGGAAAACTTTTTTTATTTGTAAATAAAACTGTATTGCGAGGGGGAACAGCATAAACTCGTAGGATAAGCTGTAAGATACAAAAAAGTTTTAGGGAATTGAATTCCGAATGATTTTACAAAGGATGTATTTCAGGTAGAAGCAGAAAGATGGATTGTTGATTTAATTAGAACGTATCGTATTGATGGCGCTAAAATTGATTCTAAACTTGGGCAGGTATGACTATCAACGTTACTTGAAATTACATTCCTTGGAGTTTTGTTGTTACTGGAAATTGTACTAGCTTACTATCGTGAAAATCATTGTAAGGGAGGAAATGATGTTGAATAATTCGAACGATACTTTGTATTTCTCTTTGTATTTCCATGATTACTCGATTCATTTTAAAGGTTGTTATGGGTGCTAAAACTACGTCTGTTCATGAACAAGTGATGGAAAATACAAAACGGTTAACTTTCCGTGCGCAGCAAATTGCTCTACAACTGGAAAAAATGAAACTAGACAAGAAGGTTTGCATTGTCAACTTCCTATGTCATATGCTTTTTGTGACGAATGTCGGGATTTCTAAACATGTTACATTGACATATTGCATTCATGAATATGGTACCATTTCCAGGTTATTAATAGATACAATTCATATGTAAGTTGTTTTAATAATGAAATTTCAAACCCAAATTTCCAAATTTCAGGGCGCTTGGAAGGCCGAATTATCATGATATTATTTTTGTGGGAAATAATTTGTGATCATATGATTGTATTTCTGTGCTTAGACGGTTTTTTCCTGCTTATCTGAATTGTTTGGGAGGTTTGATATCGCCAGACTTTGGGTTTTTTCTTTATTGTTGTCGTGGAGAAGGTGTAAAATAGTGCGAAATATTCAAATTCAGCATTGATTTTTTAGTCGATCGTTGCATTATTTATATATTGCTATTCTTCGTTCAAATTTTCGGCAAGATAATGGCTGGTTGGATAATCTGCTATCCTATGCAAAAAAAAATTTAACTTAGAAATTTGAATGGAAACTTTGACTTACTTAACTTAAGTTTGACTTATATGGAAGTTATTTAGTCATCAATACAGAATTTGGTCCTTCATCTGTTACTGTAAAATTCTAACTCATATGACTGATACAAATCGATTGAAAGTCGTTTACCATAATGTTGTTTTATAATGTCAGCTTTACGATATTAGCAAGAGATTACGATATTATTTGAAAACGATTTAAGCTTCTTGAATTTCGATTAAATGATTTCCACCCTTTGACAGTATTCTCCCAATGGATGGAAAAGAGTAGCTAATTATTAGCTTGCCGTCTGTCTAAGGATTTAGATTGATATTAGCAATTTACAAGCAATATGATTAGGATGAATTTTATTCTGAGTTAAACTGTTTAATTTTAGGATTAAGTTACACCAAATTCCGTTTCCTTTTAATAATAATAATAATAATTGTATTGAAAGTTAGAGAAATTGTCCTGAAACTAAGTCAATGTTTAAATCAGTTCGATTTTGATTCCTTTTAAATTAATCCAGAGGTGAAGCTGTTTATTGCATTATTTTGTTTTCGTTCGATGTTTGTGCCATTCCCCGATAAAGCGAATGAGATAAAATTGATATACTTCCTTTTTTTTTCTTTTTTGAATTGATTTTCTTGCATGCTACACTGCCAAAACTTAATTCTAGTCAGAGTTTGTTGGTTGCTAACAATTCTTCTTGTTTTACCTTATACCAAATGCTTAAGAGATTTGCGAACTGAACTGGAAATGGGGAGATGGTTATCTCTTGATCCTAAGATTATCCTTAACTGGTAAATCATTGTTGTAACACATGACATGATGAAATTTACTCAGAAGATTATCCTTCAGAAGATTATCAGCTGGTGTATCACTGTTGTAATACAAAAGAAGAAATGATATAAGCATGTTTTTATCAGCAGTCAAGCAGTTGTTTGGTACTTTCTAATATGTATTCAGTAATATAATTAGTCCATAAAGCTTATGTTTTGCATTTATTACATCGTTAGTTTATCAGATAAGATGTTTGATAAAATTTACTTATGAAATTACTGAAAATATTTCGTAAGTTGACATAAATGATTTTAATCAATCATTTCATTTATCCTTCACTTATAAAGATTGATCTGTACTTGTGAATGTTGGTGATGAACTTTCATCTGTTTCACTACTAAAATCACTTTCATTGCTCTTCTTATCACTATAAGTTGCAGTACTTCCATTATCAGTTGATTTAAAATAAGTTGAACTATCTGAAACAAGTTAAAACGAAATGTATCTTAGGATGGAAATTAATTACTCAAATAATCTATTAATGATTTGTAAAATAAAACATACAAGTAAGGGTCAATTAAAGAAGTTTGTAAGTATACGTATATAACGTTTCAGCAACGTGATAAAAACCTTCACTATCAGGCGAACTGCCAGCCGTTTTACGCTGTTTTCTTGATTGCTTACTTTTGTTAGATTTTGTCGTTTCACCTAAAATAAAAAAAAAAATAGAATTTAAATAATGAATTTTTAAATTTTAAAATTTTTATTTCGCAAGCATATCAACTTATATTAAATTTCTTTTTTACATTTTCTGATTTTTTTAAAATTTTATTAAAGTTATTATTTTCAATGCTTCTTTCTCATTGCAATTTAGCTATAACATGATAATTAATTAATTATTCAGTTATTATATTTTTACATAATTTTAATCCATCTTTCTTCACATTAAAATATATCTCCCATATTCTTTCTCTCTTTCTCTCTCCCTATCTCTCTCTCTCTCCGTCTCTCCCTCTTCCTTTTATAATCAAAATATGTTTATATGAAAGTGGAACAAAAATTATACATTTGATTATTTATTAGTATTCAAATTTTTCATAAGCTTTCTATATTTTAATAATTAATTCTATTTTTTATATTTGAATAATTAACCCCATCTTCTATATTTTCTATATTTTAATAATAATTATGTATTTTTGATAACAATTAATTCCATTTTTAATCATAAACAATTCTACGCTTTAATAATAAATAATTCTGCCATTTAATAATGAGTAATTATATCTTTTGGTATTAAATAATTCCGCTGCTTAATAATAAGCAATTCTATCTTTCAATAAAGATTAAACCAATAAAAGCTATGAAGGAAATACGGAAATAATTTTATTTCGTTTTGAATTTTTACTTTTGATAAATTTTTGTTACACATTTATTATTAAAAGTTACACTTTTAATTTATTAAATGTTACATTTGTTCCATTCATTTAATTAAAAAATTTCATTTCAAATTTATTCCAAAATTTATTCAAATATTGAAAAACAAAAATGAAATGAAAATATTCAAAACAATTAGTGAAAGAAAACAAAAAATAATAAACTAATTCTACCTTTTAATTTTCTTTTTTTAATTTCCATTTTCCATTAATTCCCTTTCTTTTTTATTATTTTTTCTTTAAAAAAAAAAAAAGAATGTTTTAGTCCATTTTTACCACTTTCATCTTTTGATATTTTCATTTCTTCCTTTTCTTTCTTATCAACAATATCCTTTTTTTCTGAAAAGAAAAAAAATTCATCGTACCTATTTAATTAGCGTATAGGAAATCGAAATTTTGTTAAGGAAAAAAGAAAGAAAGAAAGAAAACCTTCTGTTAATTTTGGCATCGTTGGTGTTGTGCTATCTTTTTGCTTACCTTTAATTAATTAATTAATTATTTAAAGTGTGATATATGTATGATTTTTTCTTTAAACTTTTCAAAATAAAAATTTAACACTAGATGATTTGCTTGAATTTTTTTGTTTAATTGCATGAAAAAGTAAATAAAATGTAAAAATGATAATGCTTGAAAAAAAAAAAATGTTGCAAAAATTTGAAAATTTTTTAACAGGAAAAAAAAGAGTTAGATCAAAGGTAATTAATTATAAAAGCTTAATTAACTTAGCAATAATTTGCTATAAATTAAGCATACGTTTGTATTCTTCCAAATAACGTTCCATACGTTCCATGCGTGTTGTACGTGGTTTTTGTGAAATGCCAAATACGGAACGTTTCAAATCTTTACCCTCATGCATTCGTATATTTTTTATTTCATTCAGTGCTTGTGATGGTGATGTTTACTAAAAAAAAAAAAAATTACTAAATATAGAGAAATAATTTCATCATTTTAAATGATTTTTATAATTTAACTTTTTAATTATTTCTTGTAATTTTACATAATTTTCTTAATTTAATGATTTTATTTAATTTTTTAATGATTTTTTTCCAATTTAGTAATCTTTTAATTGAATATAATCGGAAAAATTTTCCAATCAATTTATTATGATAGAAGTGATTTTATAAAGGGTTTTAAAATTTAATTTTTCTAAATGATTTTTTTATAATATAATGACTTTGTAATTTAATATAGATGGAATAATTTTATAATTGAATATAATAGGAATAATTTTAAAATTTAATATAGTAGCGAGAATTTTATAACTTAATATATTACGAATTATTGTATAACTTGATGATTTCATAATTTAATTTTTTAACAATTTTTATGATTTAAAATAATGAGAATAATTCTGAAATTTAATGCAATAGGGATAATTTCCCAATTAAATATAATAGAAATAAATTTTATACTTTTATACAATAGGAATAATTTTACCTTTGATGATTTTATAATTTAATTTTTCAATACTTTTTCACAATTTAGCAATTGTATGATTTAAAATAATGGGAACGAATTTATAATTTAATATAATGCAAGTAATTTTACAACCTAATAATTTTATGGTTTAATTTTTTGAGCTAATTTTAATAATTTAATAATTTTGGAAACTAATGCAATAGGGATAATTTACATCTTGTTCATTGTACAATTTAATCTCTAATAATCTTTTATAATTTAATAATTTTATAATTTAATGATAGTTTTTTGAACAAAACAAAGCTTGCAAAAATTTTATTAATTACTTGGTTTAGCCGTCACATAAGATGCTTTAATTGGTGGTGCTTTTCTTCGATAAACAATTTTTCGACTGGGCACATTAATACTGAAAAATAAGCAAATTTTATTTTAAAGAAAAAAACTGTTTAAATACTAATTTAGTTTTGCTGTTTTTTTTTCTTTGCCAATATATTCTTAATAGAATTGAATACTTAATTGTCGTTAAAATTCATATATTTGCATAAATATAAAAACATTTGAATTTTGCAAAATTATTCACATTTATATAATAATAAGAGTTTAATTAAACTTATTAAAATTTTCTGATAGAAAAGATTTTGAAAATATTTTAATTCAACAATAGATTTTCATCATTCATTCTCTACTGACGTGATTTGTGTCTTTTACAATATTATTAACATATTACATATTTCACGTATTACACGTTATATTCTAAGATTGCAAGAAACAATATTATTTACGTATTACACATTTTACGTATTTACACGTTATATTTTAAGATTACAAGGAAATTATTTGTAAATTAAAATTTTTTTTTTTGTTTGAATCGTACACAAATTGCGTGTGACCACTTCTATTGCCACATCGTTTGTATGAGTTATGTTCGGCTAAAACACATACCCGATGCGCATTTGTATTATTAAAAGTGTAATGCGCAAAAGCTGACATCTAAAATTTGATATAAAATTAATTTCTAATTTTAAATATGCAAATATATTTAATTAGCAAAAGCACACATAATTAATAGTTATATTTAGCTGATCAATTAATTGATATTTGAAGAATTAAAAAAAAAATATTATAAATATTTCATGCAAAAGTATTATTTATCTATCTTTTCTTTCTCTAAAAAAACTTACTATTTGCGCATAATTTGACATAGAACTGGTAAGCGCAAAAAGATCCGTACGTTGATCAGGCGCTAAATTAGCAATACGTATACAACGTAGTACTAAATATGAAAAATGAATACGTTCCGGTTTAGCAGCTAACCATGAAATAGCTGTTTCAACTACATCATATTCACTGCTTATATTCAAATCACACCTGTAGCATTTAAATAAATTACTCAGCAATTGCAATTCTAAATTTATTGTGCCTATATAATGTTTCGAGTAATCAATTAATTTTAAATCAGATTAAATTAACAAATTATTTGATACAATTATATTACAATTAACTTATATTTAAATCAATGATATGATTCAGCTTGAAATAAGCAAATCATCAAAGAAATTAATTATTAATTTTAAATCAAATTAATCTATGATCAACAAGTAGTACTTCATTAATTCATTCATGAATTATTCAATAAAACTGTTCAAATTTAGCACATATTTAAACTAATTATATGGTTCTGTTCATTCAAAAAAAAAAAAATTACAGAAATATATTGATTAGAGAGAATTAAATGAACCGATCAAGAATACGTAGAATTGCATCAAGTGGCACTTCATTAAATGATGCCATCTTTCTGATAATTGGGAATTTATTAACAGCAATATCAAAAACTTTTTTTCCCATCGATGTATCCAATAATATTTGCATACTAATCATTGTTAATGTATGCACTAAGAATTGTTCATTTTGTGTTACTGATATTAGAATAAACTGCAAAAATAATTAAATTTAAATATCATTGAAATACTAAATTTTGCAATTAAATTTAGGAAAAAAAGAATTGTTCAATTTTTGATACATAATTATACTTTATTCATTCATTTCACTTTTTTTTTTGGAATAATTAGTTCAAACAGTATCGAAATACTAAATTTTATAATTAAATTCAACAAAAAGAGAATCAATTTTTTTTTTAAAAAAAAGAAATATTTAACCACATTTTCATCAATTTTATGGAATAATTCTTTAATAATTGATTGATCCGTTTTTTTTTATTTTAAACTTATGCACTTAATTACTGATTGTATAAATTTTAAAACAAAAACTTTTATAACCTTGAAGTTGATTTATCAACAAATGTAACTTCAAAGTGTTTGAATTTTAATTTCTTTTTAAATTTTAAAAAATATCACAAAAAGGAAAATTTTTTTTTTCAACTTCAACAACACATTTCAGTATTATTGCTAAGTTTTTTTATTCAAAAAAAAAAAAGAAAAAAAAGCAAAACATTGTTACTTCATTAATTTTTGTTAATAATGATTCCATTTCTAGGAGACGAGCAATTTCGGTCATGTCACCAAGAATGGAATTTGTAATTCGTGCCTTCGTACGACCACCAGTTGCCATATAATCAATTAAAGTTGACACAGCTATAACGTCATAATTTGAAAAATCCAACATTTTTGGTACTTTACCATCAGCTTCTAACTGTAAATTAAAATTTTTTGAAAATTTAAAATTAAAATTTTTTACATCCTCTTAATCATTTTATCTTTTCATTGGTATTACTCATTGAAAAATCAAAAAATTGATTTAACTTCAAATTTAAATCTTTCAAAAATTCTAAGCTTAGATTTTCTAATAATTTGCTTCAATTGTTTCATCTTTTTATTCATTGTTATTGCATATTGAAAAATCATTCAAAAATTTGACACTAAATGAATTTAAAATAAAAAAATGAACTTGAAATAAAAAATTTTTTAATTTCATTTTTGCAACAAAAATTGAATGTTTTAATGTAAATTGCAAAATTTTGTTAACTTTTTTTTAACCTGTTTAATTTTTTTCGAATATTCTTTCAACAGATCAATATCAATGGCAAAATCATCCTTATTACTGTGAAAAATTATTTTGCGAATTTTTTCGGGCCTAAATTAAACGACAAAAAAAGTGCTGCAATTAAATAATAATTGAATGCCAATTAAATTATTCCATTATATTCCGATATATGAATGTCTATTACTTCTTTGATAAAATACAAGAAGAATTGTTATCTATTTCAGGCATTTAATTCATTAAATAGGAAAAACAAGAAAGAAAAAAAACAGATCAAAATAAGCCACGAAACCTTGTTTTGCTTGGCTCCACCATTATAGAACCGCTTGATCTGGTGATTAAACACTGATATGATTTGCCGTAACTTGAATGACAACTTTATATTATTTTGCTGTCACAACTTCATTTTTTCTCTTTTTATGCAAATTTTTTTCCTTTTTCGGTTTTTACTTTTTACTTTTGAAATAAAACTGAAAAAGCTATTTTACAGCAAAAAATTGATTAATCTTTAATAAATTTTATTCAAATTACACGAATCTTTATTTCAGTAAAAATTTTAAACATTTTAAATAATCTATGATAAATTTTGGTTGAACAATATTTTCCTAATGCGAATTCATTTTTAAAATATTTCTTTTTTATCCAAAAGATTCTACGATGAAATTATCATTTATCAAATATAATAAAGTTAAATCTATTGGATGAATCATTTGTACAAGTATCAACACTATTATCAAATAGATATATTTGTGTGATCATGACCATAATCATAATTGTAGTCATAATCACGATCATGGTCTCAATTATAATTGTAATCATATTCATAATAATAATAAGTGCGATAATGTTCGCGTGAAATTAATCTTTATTGGAGCATTATCAGTAGATATCTTCATGCACTTATAATCGTAATCATAATCACAATCACAATAAGTGTGATAATATTAACATGAAACTAATCATTATTGGAACACAAAAAAATATATTATCATTTCTTTTGTCCCATTCTTCAAATGATTTATACGTATATGCGTATGTATCAATGATTCCAAAAATTTATATCACACAGACAATCAATTTTAGAGTTTTGTTCACGTTGATGCAATAAATAAACTTTAGTAAGAGTTTTCCAACATCAAACATGATGTAACATTTTGAATAGTAATGACAGTTTAATAATTAATAATAATAATAATAATAATAATAATAATAATAATAATAATAATAATAATAATGAATAATAATAATAGCAGTAATAATAATAATAATAATAGTAATAATAATAACAATAATAATGAATATTAATATGC